GGTGCGCCCCCCCCCCCCCCCCCCCCCCCCCCCCCCCCCCCCCCATTGACTTGGCTCCCAGCACAGGCATGTCTTGGGGGGTGAAGGCAGAGCCCCCCTGTCCAGCAATGGCTCCTACACCTCCAAACAGTGAAGGGAGTCCTTCCAGTGGAGTCCACACACAAAGAGCCACATGTGGAAAAGCATAAAGCACTAGTGAGAACTGGTGCTGCTTGGGTAAGAGATTCTCATCAGCTCTGTCAGGCCTACAGAAATATTTCTGGTGCTCATCATCAAGGTAAATGGTATGGGCTTGCCTGGAGGATTTCCAGCAACTAGGCTGAGAGGCACAGTGTTCTTAAGTGATGGGTGAGGTAGCTCTGAGTTGGCACTTACATAATTATGAATCTTTCATGTGACAAAGGTAAAGTAAGAAGTGTCAGAAGGAAGGGCTCAGGATGGACAAAGGGGGGTGCATGCTTGTCTTTTCTGCTCACACTGCTGACACCTTGTCTGGGAATGTCCCAGGCAGTGCTGTCCTCCTGCCCAAGTCTCAGTCACCCATAGAAGGGGCAGCTTGCAAACAAAAAGCTCAGCACCAGCCCCTCTGTTAACTTGTCCAAAGGAAACACAGGTTCTGAAAACAGAAATAATTTCCACAGTACTTCTCGGCTGATGCTGAAGTTTGTGAAATGTATGCAAACCAGGATTTCTTCACCTCTAAGGGTGGATGAAGATGAAGTCTCTGTTGCAATTCATGAGCTTTGCATAACTGCTCAAATTGTTCAAAATTTTTGCCCCACAATCTACTGGTAATTCTTTTTATCCTTCTGCTAATTTTGTAGTAATGTATGCAGCAATATCTCCTCACCCCCATAGGAATCAACTACAATAAGAAAAAACAGGAATTCACACATCTGCATACATATGCATGGAAAGCTGAATTAAGTACAGTTCGTTTATCTTGCACTTGTTGCTAAAGGAAAGTCTTGGGAGCGTGAACTTAAATCTTCTGGCAGAAGAACTGGAACCAGTATGACCACTAAGCAGGAGTTATACTCAGTGTGCACCAGTCAGTGCTAGTCCATGTGCACCAGTCAGTCCCGGTGAACATGTGCCATTAAGCACTGGTAAGCATGGACTAACAAATGAGGCTGGGGTTGGGTCAGCCAATTTGCTCAGGTCAGTTTTGTGTTGGCATCAGCAGGAGCTACCGAGCTATTTTTAAGGATGGGTCAGAGGGTCTGTAAGCAGAGTGGCTTGTGTTTTAATTAGCGCTAAGCATTAAAGTAATGAGTTTGCTCTGAGACTGAAGGAGGCTGCTGGGGGGCGCGGATTAGAGATGGCATCGCAAAACCTCCATCCTCTGTTCAAACTGGCGTTTTTGCATACCTGTAGCTGGGTTGGGCTGGGGTTGAACTGGCTGCAACCCGGAGTGGGCAGTGAGATGAGGTCAGAGCTGGGCCCCGAGGTGGCTGGCAGCTGGGACCACCAGCTCTCTTCCCATAAACACCTTTCGCCTTGCTTCCTTTCTACTGAAAAATTCTCTTCAAATTCCATTACTAATTATCTCAGTCTTGGCTTGTTGAATTTTTTCATGCATAAAAAACAACTTCCCACTAACTTTTGCTACATCAACAGCTTAGATAATCATAGCTCTGTCTTTCCAAATTGTAAAGCATTTGGTTTTTCACTTTTACCTTTATACACAGTAGGAATTTCTTTTGAAACAGCAAAGGTATAGCTAACTTATAGATCTGGTCCTTTTTCTTTAAAAAGCAAAGATACAGTTACCAATACAAATTGCTGGTCTGCTCTGGGCATCAACATTAATTTTCCCACATTAAATAGTCCACCATAAAATAATAAAAAATGAAATAAAAAATAATTACAAAACTAAGATGATTACTTTGCACTTAGACCTTAGAATATTCTTTTGGTCTTTTGTAAGGAAAATGGAACACAATAACAGTGTTTTAACCTTGGCTATAGAAA